AAGTAAATAATTGATGCAGTATATGGATCAATAACATGATAACTACCTTTCTATATACACAGTATTTCTTAATTTCACTAATAGCAGAAAAGTTTGATAATGATTTTTTTTGTCATAACCCCCCCTCTCCGCCCTCTTCCGGAAGATTAAGTTTCGTCCAAGTTTTAATGTCTGAAAATGACCAATCTCTTCCTCAGCGAAAGGCAGAAAAATCATCTGCGTGCATATAGTCGCAAAAAAATATTTCTTCGAATTATGAATGTTTGATTGAAATCATTTTATTTACTTAAATGAATGAAATGTCATTTGTTTTCAAACTTGTCGCAACATTGAAACAAAAGACTAAATGTGTTTTTAATAACACTACTATTAGTCTGAATCAAATATTATCTTGAGAATACTCCTAGTTTCTTTTATTGATTGAATAAAAAATTCTTTCATTTAACGCAATTGTTTTCTCAGTGTAGAAAAAAACTCCAACCTTTAGGGACTTTCTGACAAAAAAAAGTGTACTCTCCACAGGAATATAGTGACCTACATCATACCACGTGTTTGCCACCTTCGCTTTCGGCTTGAGTTCCAATTTTACACGTAGTACGATATAGCTCAGTTTCGTCCCGTGGTGTGTAATGTATTGTTTTTGTCGTCACCAGAAAAAGAACGGATTTCTTGACTAAGCGTGTTGTTATGTACAGAGCGATTACTTATATAGTGCCGAGCCGATGGTGCAATAAATATACAAAATAACAACAATTTAATAGGAAAATCGGTATTTTAGAAGAAAAAGTTTTTCGAGATAGAGGACCTACAAAATTTTCGAAATTGATGACTCTTTCTAGAAAGTTCTTTTAATCTTAATTTATAACGCCATATCTGAATTTTAACATTGCAAATGCAGATGAAATTAGTTCAGGGATATAAAAAAATAAGTTCGATTACGCTATAAAGTTCCAAATAATATTGCAATTTCACTTCCGCTTACATGAATACTAACGTCAGATCTTGGCTACTAGGATTATAAAAATTCAAAAGGAAAAATTATGACAAATTGCATGTTTCTTCAAACTTTTAATTGCAGGTGAACTCGTCTACTATTTATTGAAAACGATAGAAAAAGACAATAAATTTTCTAAATAATTACTAAATGTTGTATAATGATGTGATAAAGTCAGAAATCAATTAACAGAGAGCAATTGTATAGATTGTATGAATTTTTATAATTTTCAAGAAATAGAAGTCAGGTTTACCTGCACTTAAAAACACATGGATATTAGAAATGGACAGTCAAATACACGCAGAAAAATGTATAGTAAAAATTACCCTAAATTTTATGGTAATTTGGTGACACTGCAGGATGACGGTAAAAATTACTATACACATTGTAAAAAATACTGTGCACATTGCTGAATTTACTAAACTACATAGTAATTTTTAGGGTGAAATTAGAGTAAAAATAACTATGCAGTTTAGTAAATTCAGCAATGTGCACAGTATTTTTTACAATGTGTATAGTAATTTTTACCGTCATCCTGCAGTGTCACCAAATTACTATAAAATTCAGGGTAATTTTTACTATACATTTCGCTGCGTGGATAAATGTAAACATGAAAGTAAAAGATCTGCTTCACTGATAGTATCTTCTATTTCTTCTATAGTATCTTCTAGCTATTTAATGAATATCTGTGTATCTAATAAATAAAAATGCATTTTTTTCCGTAAAATATATAAATTAAAAACTATGCTTTCAGTTAGTGACACAAAAAAAATAAAATTTATCAGCTGTTATGTGGAAAAAATTGTAAATGTTGTTGGATGCTAGAATTTGCTTGAAGAGATCTACGAAATCCTAAAAATTAACTTAAAAAATGAGAGTTTAATTAGCAGTCTCAAAAATACATTATGATTTTAATTTTTGTATCCGACTTGTATGTTTTCCGATGATTCGATTGCTAAAAAAAATATTGCATTCATCGTTATTTCATTTTTAAAAAGTTGAAAAATAAAATGGTCGGAATTAGGGGCAACAAAATTTAGAGAGGATCCTAATATCGACCACTGGTACTCGAAAAAGTTATAGTTAAATAAGACATGTTATTGTCTTTTTTGTTAAAATTCATTTTCTTCAACCCTTAGGTATTATTGAAATCGCACAGGAAGAAAAAAAACACGAATTGCGTGCAATGGTCTACTTAGTTGGTATTCGTAAGACTGAAAAAATACTCTACAACTGCATCGAGGTGTTATTAAATTAGATAATAAGTATTAACAATACTAAAATTACTATCTCTCATATAATACAATGGACTACATGAAATATGTATTTGTATTTTATAATAATAGCTATTTCTTATACTGTTGAGCGTTAATTAGTGATATAAAAAATTACTCACCTTTGCTACGTAATTAATTTTTTATTTTAACAATAACAATTTAAAAGTAGTTCTTGTAGTTCTAAAACTATTGTTTTTAGTTACTGTCACTAATTTTAATTGAGAAAAAAAAACTCACGCTGTGGTTCAGAAACAACACTATACAAAAACGTTCAAAAATACATTAAGAGAAATAATGATGCTTCCAAGAAAAAATTCTTTACTTTAATCATAATATTTAACTCAAACCATTTTTCTGCTTGTATACCAACAAAATGATTTGTGCAAGTAATTTTTTTCTCAGAAATCACATTCTTTTGTCTTTAAATGTATCACTTAATAGTTTTGCATTTCTAATGACTATTATTAAATGCTTTAATTAAAACAAAAAACTATACATTAAGAGATTATTGATCATAATTGTTTATCTGCTTCTAAGCTTACTCTTAGATAAAAAAATGACATTTTTATTCATCTTTTTTTTTGCAGAATTTCTAATCAATGAAGTTGTTATTTCTCAGTTGATAAAACTATAAACACTGAAATAATTTCCAATTTAAATCTCAAAAATATATATTAATTAATTCAACTTTTTTTGAAGTTTATTTTATCAAAGTAATCAGAAATAAATAAGAAGATATTAGTTCGTTGCTTTCAATGTTAGTAATGATATTTAAATTACAATTTCCATCTCACCTACTTATTATGATGAGAATATTAATTACCACAAAAAGTATTAAACTTTCTGTACATATACACTCATCGCACTGCCATTAATCTATGGCTGTGGTATTTAATAATAATAAAGATGAGGTTGTCATGAAGAATTTTTTATCCGATTAAATTGAAAATTAATAAAAATCAATATCATAACATGTTTACTTTACCAATTAAAAATAAAAAAAATAAACTTATTTTTTTTTTGCGTGTACACTCTTAGAATTTTTTCTCCTGCTGATGCATCAATGTAATTATCGTCACGACAATGTTAAGATGAACGATTTTATTTCCCCAAATGACACGTTTCCAAGTTCCCTTGGAGCTTCTTCTTCATCTTCTTACCTACATCTTCCAATATATGCAAAGTGAAGACCATTTCCCGTCTGTAATCCATTCGTTGACGTGCACGACCGCATATATCGAAGTGCATTATTAAAATCAAGGCTGAACGTTACATGAAAATGATTCCTATAAATACCGGATATATGGGTGCGTCTATCTTTTATATATATCTAGCCCAGTGCGTTCTATTTCTCCAACAGTCAATCACACTCTTCCTACTGTGATCAACGATCATTTGACTTTCCGTTGCAATCCACGAATCGATTGAAGAATTGAATAAAAAAATAATTTCTGTATTATTATCAAGATATAATGCCTGTTCCGCGAGCTGAAGTGTTATTAGACATGTATGGTGAAGCTGATAACGGAGTAACTTACGCTTATTGGTTGTGAGTATATAAATGAAATAATTGAAATATCGGAATAAAAATAATTAATTGAAGTATTTATTGAACACGATTGACTTAACGATAATCTTCATTTAGTTAGCTTACAAGATGTAAGTGAGCCTGAGGTCTTATTACAACGTAGAGGTTGAGGGCTTGGGTAAGGCGATCACTCGACAAGAGAAACGTGTGCAGGACACTTAGCCGTAGGGTACTTATATGCACCTGCAACTCTCGCGTCACATTCAACTGAGAAGAAAACGAGTTAAGACGAGAGATGTTTCTTCTCCTACCTCGTCATTTCTCTCATCCAGTCCCCTATTTTATCTCACGCGATGAAAGCATCTCTAATCAAAGTATCATCGGATATTAGATACATAAATGTACATACGTATATATATTTATGTTGTATCCATATTTTGAATTATTAAAATTCGTTCTTTTATCTGCACATTCATTTTGATACAGTTTTCTAATGATCTTTTATAGTTTACTTACTCTTATCGATTAATTTATCAACAAGTAGATCATCGTTTATTTATATTTATAAATATGTAGAATAATTATTTTAATTTTTAGGGTAGTAAAATTAAAAATATTTGTTATCAATAGGTTGATTGAATTGAGACGATTGGCTTGATTAAAAATAAAATATCAAGTTGATATCTTTCGTTTAAAAAAAAAAAGCAACAAATATTTAAATATCTGTTGATGGATGATTTAGAACGGACGGATAAGAGGGTGAGCCACTGATTCACGCATTATTAGTATATCGAGCCGGAGTTATGCTTCGTTGCCGATCGTTATATATATATACGCGTTACCTACTTGTCCGTGGAATTGACTTTACAACCGTCTGAGCGTTATAATAATGCGATCAGACGGGGCAACATGAGATCAGACAACCGAGACTATTGTCGGTTACATTATGAAGTAAACATCGGTTTCACGCATCAATTCATCATAAATTACTCCAACTTAAATTGAGATATACTATCGGTCATCAAGACCTGCTTATTATATGAAAAGTTATTGTTTTTAATAATATACAAGTTTTTTTGAAATAATTTCGTTGTTCAGGGTTGTTTCACTTCCTAAATTTATTTATAAAACGATAAATACAATTTTCAATTGATCGAATATATGTATATATATATATTTAATATGATTAATGCTATTGTAGATGCATTATTGGAATGGCAGAAAAGATACAGGAAGCAGCTGCACGTGGAGATACAGCTAAATTATCTAGGCTTTTAGATGAAGGTGCTAAACCTCTTCCTGATGAGGTAATTAAATGAAGATTATTATTAATAAACTACGTTGGAAATTTATTGAAATTCATTTTGAATAAAATAAGCATAAAATTTATGAAAAAAATTAGGCTAAATTAATTTAAAAAAATTTTTTTCAGCATGGTCGTAGTCCTTTATTAATTGCTGCAGCTTCTGGTCACGTAGATGCCTGTAAAATCCTCATTCTTCACGGAGTTGACGTTAATGGGACTGATAATGTAAGTAATTTAATACAAAATATAAAAAATGATATTTTTTCGATAATATTTTTATTTAAAATGCATTAAATTTTGTTGCTGCCACAGTTTTAATATCTTTTGATAGGAGCAATAGATGATATCTATCATCTTGCATGTTTAACACGAGTAATTAATACAAACGTTCAAGCACTTTAATTGAAACGAAAGAGACAGTTAAGTCGAGGTAAGCTTAAAAAACGCGTTATTTAATTAACAGCCGTATGATCTATTTTTTTTTTTTCATTCTACATAATTGTATTTAGATTATTTATACTTTATGATCTGAATAGAAATTGATTATTAACATTTTTTATATACTTTTATTTGATTTTTATTGTTGTATCTATTTATATCCAAAAGTCATGCTCTTATTTTGCAAGATTAAAAGCCTTCTTCGAATGTATTTGATTCAGGTTTTGCAACAATTTATCAGAAAGGCTGTAAGGTTCGAGTCACGTTAATGTGTTGTTAAGTCTCCTTAAAAGGATTTTACATAAAAAAGTTAATTATTGTAAAAAAAGATATTTTTTATTGTTAATCATTTTTATTGACTGAATACCAAATCTGTTCACAAATATGTATTACTATACGCCTATGAGTACGGTGAAAAGGCTATTCCAAGTGGTCAGTAATTATAGGTTTGGTGGCACGAGTCAGACGTATAGACCCAGCGGGTGCGGCCAACCCATTGGTATACATATATATACGGCGTCGTGTCAAATTCTTTTAAATTCCAACTTCTCTCCATACAATGGACTGTCTGCCTTTCTTTTAGTCATACTGTTATGTTAGTATATGAGAAAGATAGACAACGGAAAACAACCCTGTAAAGTTGGCAGAAATCTTTTCAAAAATATTTTGTTCAATTTTATTACATTTTGTTTCAGTGGATCAATCATTTTATCAACACTTCATTTATCTAAAATTATCATTTTTTAAATCATCATTTTACAAATTATTTAAGAATATTTTAGATTTATTGCAAAATTTTGCAGTCAATAATAAAAATTGTTTGTTAAATTGATTAATAGATAGTCGCAAAATTCTTTAAAATCTAAAATTTTTTCAAATCGACGCCAATGTTGAAAAGGAGATTCGCTCTCTAGTCTACTATTATAAATTGGAGTCCAGGTAAAATTCCATTCGAAATTCTTCCTACTCGAATTTGATATATCTAGTCAATGACATTAAATGACTAAAAGAGTAATTAATTTATTCCTTTCAAATGACTATAATACACTCATTTATAAAAAGACATTGCCACGTGTTTAAATCTTTTCACACTTTAAATAAATAATGGTTTTTTTCTATCTTCTATCAATTCGACACATGTAATTTGTCGACAATTACCAGATCTAAGATCATAATATGAAGGTAGTGGATACGAGAAATGTTAGGGTTGTTGGTGTTAGTAGCAGCTATTACTTCCGCAACTGCATTGCCGACTGATCATCTTTAGATATCGCAATATCTTTTTATTAGTTATATACATATATAGCCCGTTAATCATTTTATGCGGGTACTCGATACCTGTAAGCATTAATTACATGCTCAACAAGTATTTATTAACAATACAAAAACTGCTATTAACTAATCATTCGATTATTGATACTCTTGGGTACCTTTCTAAAGTTACCAGTCTATAATTTACTATCCAACTATTCTTTTACAATTATTATTAACTTAATGATATTTTTTAAAATAATTATTTATGATTCACCGGATATATTTTATTGGTTTTTTCAAGTTTAATTGAGATTTTATTAAATTGGGTAGAAGGATTGACTTTCGACATCGATTGTACGTACAAGACGAAAACGCATACGTGCTCAGAACAATGATACCAGTTTGACTGGTGTGCCTCTCCCACCGTGTGGTTACGAGTCACAACAAGGAGGCTATAGAGACGCGAAGACGAAGAGAACTGACTTTAGCATGCACTGATGCAAGAAGATACTATAGTGAATTGCAGTGTAGTGGAGTTTGTAAGGTACATACAAACACTACACAAAGTCAAATCGTGCCTTTAGCATTTCCATGTGCGTCTGTTTTATATTTCCATGTGTAAGAGTCCTATCAACTTGAGGATATCGCCTGGGTTAAAGTTTCTTTGAGCCGTTACCTTCTTATATGCTTTGCACCTACATCGTTTGTTACTTTCAGTTTTATCTTTTGTCTTTATACAATCATAAAAAATGTTGTTATTAGTTATCATATAATGATACTGACAATTTTAATTGAAATTTCTTCACAGTCATTGTGATTTATTGAGCTTGAAATATAAAATAAAGAATTAAAAGATAAAAAAATTTACCAAACTTCATGGACTTTAATTTGTCTTTTAGCTTTTGTAATATTCTTCATAATTTCCAGGTGAACAATTGAATATTTTTTTTTTACAATCAAAGATATTAGATAGTGTTATATTATTTTACATAAATTATTTGTCTCTTCATTCAAAACTTTTTTTATTGTTTTACTAAAAATTCTTGATTTTGAAGTTGGAATAATTAATAATAAAACCTTATTAAATTTTATGTATTCATACTGAATAATAAATAAAAATTTAATAGACAATAATATCATTGCAAAATGAGGGGTAAGAACTGATTTTATGAATAACGTCTAAAAACCCAACAGCTTTCTTAATACATATAATTTTATTGAAACTCAAAAACTGTGAATAATATTCATATATTTTATCAATACAAGAATTATGACATTCTGACTAATTAATAACCAGTTCTATAGTAAGGCGTCGGACTGTCTAATAAAAAAATATGAAAATAATTATTTCAAATACTAAGATGAAATCATTTATAAAAACAATTAATTATGTTCAATGTTATTTATTCTATAGATCCCTTCAAGTAACAATAAAATAATATAAAGCTTAAATTACAAAGTTGGAAGACTGTTCAGTTGAGATTAATATAAATTTTTACTATATAAATTTCAACGTGGCAAAAAGTTTATAAAATAGAATGATCTTATTCTACTTAAAATAATAGGTTGAAAAAAGAACACACATGGTGGACTCATCTTTTCTGTGAAGAGACTGAACATTTATCTTGAAGAGATGAGAAAAGACGGATAGTGAAGAAACAAAGTAAAAGAAAATAATAAAAATAAAAACAAGTCTCACAAGCACTTTCCTTGCCAATATGAGTCCTGCGTCGCTTGAAAAGTGGTTGCGTGCTTCTCGACGGCTTCCAGTTTTTGCTACTACGCCTCGTTTTAACTCGTATCAACATGCTGCCAGTGTTGGATCATGTCTAGAGAAATTTATCTAAAGCAACAAAATATTAAATATTAATAATAATTATCTTTAGTTACTTGATAGATATGACATTTTTTCGATTTAATATGGAACAATGTTGTTAGCATCCTTCCTTCATTGCGTATCTTTTTGTTCTTACATAATTATTAAACATAACAAAGTAACGGTTAATTCACATATAGTTTTCTAGTTGTTTAAAGAATCATTCAGAAAGAAACATCTGCACATGTCGCACCTGTCGACTGACAAGATCACTTCCGGTATTTCGACTGATGTGAGCAATCGTTTTACACACTCATCTTATCCATGTTATAATGAACTCGTGTAATATTCAAACTATTTTATTGCAAAAAAAAAATACTTTTCTACTATAAATAATTGATCTTGATTTATTGAAACGATTCTGCAATAATTTTTTTCAATTACAGTAAATTCAATTAAATCGTATATACGATCAAAATTCCAATAAATTCTTTCAATTACATTATAATCGCATAGTTGTATAGAATTTTTCAATCAGTCTTTATCAGCTGAGAAGAGAATTTTAAATGCTTACTTATACAAATATTTTAATGTAAATAAACATAGAATTAATTATATAAGTGAACAGAAGGAATTAATTAAAAATTTTTCATTTTCTCGAGAATGATTTTGTCATTTATAATATTTTTATTTTTACGAGTATAAAAGTTAGTTTTAAATCTGTCGAGAAAGCAAAAAAATTCATGAATAAATATTTTAAAGATGAATGGTAGTCTCTCTCCCATGAAATACCTGAAGGGATTGGTCTGATACCGAGAGAAGAAGTAAACTCTAGCCTCTCGACCGTATCATTCTTTACCCAAGGGCAGAAGCAACTGGGTGCACGCAAGAAATGTCTTATTCAACAATTTACTTTAATTGTTGACAGAAAGTATAGTATCTTCAATGAGCTCTGACAGTATTTAAATCTCATTTTATTTCTCCGCTTCTCCATATATAGACATCAATAGCTAACACGCATGATGTGATTGATGAAAAAAAAATATCACTAATTTATGCTAAAATATTGTTGACACCATTATTCAATTTACATTTTTCTTTTTAAAAAAATATTTCTTGAAAATTTTTAAAACTTCACTTTAATCATTGTGATCATCAAGACATGTAGAATAATGGCTGAAGTGTGTTCAATTAATAAAGACACACATTTTTTATCCTAAGAAGATGTTTTTTTATGTGACCTTCAAAGCTATGATGAAATAAATAATCAAATAATATAAAAGACTACAACTGCAAACATGGAAAATTAAAGTCAAGATCCTTATTATTTTATAATGATGTTGTTTATTGGTTTATTCTTTAAAAAGTCTAAATTTCATATAAGTATAAATATTTTCATTATTTATTAAACAATATATAAATAGTTGATATATGAAGTAAAATATTCATCATTCAAATTAAAGTAAGGTTTAATTTAATATTGAGAATGATACTTTACAAAGAATGTAAAATACTCCAAAAAATTTTACTCCAAATTCAACTTCTGTAGAATGATAATTTTTGTTGCAATACTTTTTAATTTTTTATAATTTTATTTATTAATTGACAGAAGTTTCATTCATTATACTGAGAATGATCAATTATAATAATAAATTTAATATCGAATGATATATTTTGTTTTACTGAGTAGTTATAACAGCTACAGTTCACTGAAAAGTATTTTTGAAAACACTCAAATCAATGGTACACTTACATAGGAAGTTATTTTTATATCAGAGTATAAAAAATAAAAAAAAATAATGTAATTACGACCGTGACAGGATTCGAACCTGCAATCTTCGGATCCGAAGTCCGACGCCTTATCCGTTAGGCCACACGGCCTTACATAGGGTTGCAACCCTTGAAATGTGAATAAAAAGCTCAATAATCAAGAGTATTTGTGCTAGTTTTGCCTATAAGAAATTTAGCTCTATTTATTCTAAAAGGGATGAGAATTTGCGATAAATTATAAGATAACTCCAAGAAATTAATGTTCAAATTTTTTTATCATTTATTTATTGATATATTGAACATTAACATAGAAACATCAACAACTGTTTGTTCTTAAAGAATATCTGGCACACAGCATACTTTCGGTATTTTATTTCTGCTTATTCCACATTTTGAATCTCTCAAGTATTGTTCATCTTGTGGATAAAGTGGTACGGATTTAATTAATCTCACTAACGCTGGGCAGTTGAAAAAATCAATACAGTAACCATTTAATCCAGTAGGTGAAACACAATTAAAGTTGTTTCTTTGTATCTCTAAAAATATATTATTTTTATAATCAACAAATCGATAGCTATGAATGTTATTATAATTAATAAGCAACTACATAAAGCTATATTTTATGATGGAGATAATTGGTTTATTAATATACTCACGAGCTTGAATATGATAATAAGAAATGCAGAGAAACGTGAAAAATAAAATGGTAGCTGCTGTGTCTGAACGTGTCATTATGAATGTTGATTCAAAACTGAATTTGTGAGTCAACCAAGTCATATAAAATCCTTGAAATTTTATGTATATATTCAAGCTGATGACTCGTTCGATAATGATAAGTTCATCTTTCAATTTCGCATAGAGTTGAGTAAATAATAAAAAAAAAAATGGGGAAAAAATTGTTCCCCCAGCGTTTCTGCATAAATTGAATAAAAAAGTAAATAATGGTTTTTTTTTTAAATTGTTTAATTAATTACACAGCATGATATGTAGTGTTAAAATCCAAGTGTATACAATTGTACAGCGGAAATTCCATTTATAGCTTGGAGATGAAAGGGAAGGAAAGTATTAGTACTGGTAACTGAGTTTGTAAGGTAGTCAGTTAAACGAGTGGTTTCTTGGGTTACTGTATACGATCAAGGGAAAGCTTATAGAACCCTTTGCTTGATTCATTTTCATTTTCCTTCTCTTTCTTTCTTATAACATCTTTAACTCAAACCACAAGACCGCCTGTTAATTAATACTTATTCAGCTATAAACGCGTCCAACTCACGTAATTAGAGGTAGAGTGGCTTCCTTTCTTCTTCATCTCATTCAGCCTTGATAAAAAGATCTTTATAGTGATCGTCCCTTTTTCTCAATTACGGCAATCCTTGTCTCCATTTGTGGACATTTTAATTATATTTTATACAATTCATTAAATTATTCAACTATTTTTTATACTACTTGATACATTCTTGGCTAAATGTATTGTTTTGAAATGAATTTTATTTAGTAAATACACTGATCAAATAGAGAAAAAAGTTGACTGGGTGATTTCTGTAATAAATATAGCTGTCAAGATGTAATTGTTAGGTTTGATACCCCCATGGATGTATCCTTATTGCTCAACTCTTTTTCCTTAATCAGCTATAACATCTTCATGTATTTCAGAGATAAATATTGAATTTTTATTTACACGGTTTTTATTTTTACAGACTGGAGTAACTCCATTGCAAAAGGCTGCTGCAGAAGGTCATTTAGAAGTAGTTGAACTTCTTTTACAACATGGTGCTGATGTTGCTCACCAGGATAATGTTGTAAGTGACTTTTCTTGCTTATTTATTTATTCATTTTTGAAACAACTCTATCTATATTAACAGAAAATTCAAATATTAAAAGTCATTGGGTTATCTATTTTTTTTATATAATATTTTTACTTTTATGTTCGAATAATAATTAGTTAAACTTGACTTACAGTAGAAATTTCTAAAAAATTTTCATTACGACAATTTTAGAGCACATTTATTGATCGATAGCAAATGTATTTTAACGTTCTGATGATAAATTATAGACGCTTCAATCACGTCAATTTTTTTTAGGAAAATAAATTTTATTAGAGTGTAAAGTTTATAATGAAAATGATTTAATATTGGCCACCAGTGAGAAAATAAATGATCTTGATGTAATAAATATTTTGCGACCACCAGAGTGTTGTATGACATACAAATAAAATAATAATGTATGTCTCGCGAGAAAATCGCACCTTCGCGAGAACTCCTTGCACGCAATGTTCTCATGTGCAAGCATAACCTGCACTTTTCGCTCATTTTATGATAGCAACCAGGTTCTTTTTCGTTAATTCTTCATTATTTTTATTGCTTTTTTTATGACTTTCGTACTTCTGTTCCTCAGAGTAACCTTTTTTATTTCTTAGAATTGAGTTTATTAACCTACATGTATCAAAAGTACTGTAATGGATCTAAAAATCAGGCGTTAACATACTTAATATTTTTTTTTAATATTATTTAACAGATGAAAATATTGCTCATTGATAATTGTTTCCAATAGAAAATAAAATGGTTTCAAGGGTTTGATGTATGTGATTCGTTAGGTGTTCTTTCGTTTTTGGTTGAAAGGGTTGTTTCGGGGTCGTCTAGGGTTTTCCGACACCCCAAGGATGTTTAATTCGCTTTGTTTTATTTATTTCAATCCTATCAGAGCTTACTTTTTCATGATCCGATGATTTTGAAAGTTTCCGTTCTAGGAACGTTCGGAACTTCAGTTCCATTTTCTAGGGTGTTGTATGTAATGCACGAATGTTAAAACTTTTATAGTGAGTTACGAATTTTTTGGTTCAAGAATAATAATCATCTTGCAGGAAAAGTATACAATAAGATTTATTATTAATTTATTACCTTTATTATTAATTTATTAACTTTATTATTAATTGATATTAGAGTATAATAAGTAATTTATGTTTTAGCCTTAATCCTCAACAACTCACAAGTGTCTCGTGGATACTTTTATGTTTTTTTACGTATGAAAATTAAATTATCTTCTGATAATTCTTTAATTAATTAGCATACTGATATCGAGTATACTAGAGGAGAATGTAGGATTATGGTCCAGTCTTTAATATGGCCCATTCGTTTATTATGCGAGCATGGTGTATCTTGCGTAAACTAATCTACAAATATACTGATAAGTAACTTCTTGGCAATGAACAAAGACTTTAAAAAGTGACAGTTGATGATAATTGAAAAGAGAGTGAGATATAATTTAATAGAAACAAAAAGTGAGCCATAATCCTACCTTCTCCTCCAGTATGAAATTGGTCCCACGTCGATATAATTTTTTGTTCTCGAGATAATCGAGGCGAAAAATAATTCCGAACATACATACACACACAGACGTCCACTGGAAAACGGTTGTATTGACTCTGAGGACCTTAAAACGTGGAGATATGTCAAAATTCGGGATTCGCAAAATCGGACTCATTGCTGTAACTTCCCACTGAGAAGTTAATAAAGTAAAAAAAATGTACTGGGTAATTAGGAGTTAATGTCATTTTTATAATAAGATAGAATTTAAAATTTGTGCAAATCTTTTTTATATTTTTATTAGCCGGTTGACATTAGTATTCAAGTCCTTTGTCGTAGATTCAGAAACAGATTTTATCTTCATCACTTGTTGTTTCTCTGTAATTGTCAATAATATTCATTTGAATAATGATCTTACAAAATATTTATTTATTACTGATTATTAGTATTATTTATACCGTCTGTGCTTCGATGCACTTTTGTACGAAAAAAGCTGTGTCGCATGGATCTTCACTCTCTATAAAATTGAATAAATTCATGTAACCATATTTTCTCTTACAACTCCCTTGATAATGAACAACAAAAATGATTAAAAACGACAGAGAAATAATCAATGTTTATTGATTCTGTAATGATAATAATACAACTACTTCGAACAAATGTACGATTATCACTATTTTTCTCTAATATTCAATCATTTTTATTGCTTTATTTTTAGAGAGAAGAGTATAAGACAGTTTTATTTTAGGAGAAAATGTATAAAATGATAAGCGAAAATTTTAATTTCGCTAGAATTTCAGAACTGAGTTATGTATTAATAGTAAATGATAAATCGGAAAAAACTCACTTTTAAGACATGTTTGAGCGAAAGCTTCGGCTGCTGGCCAATGCTCTTTGGGAATTTTTGATAAAGGCTTGAATAATTTATCTCGAATAAGCTCACCATCGTTTGTCAACTTCGTAAAAATAATGCAATTAGCTTTTACAATATGTAATATAAAGTTTTAGGTAAAAAGATTGCCATTACATACCCATCCTGCTATTTTACCATGACATGCGTAAAAACATTTTATTCTCTGATCGGCTTGGGACCTACCGGATTTTTCATCTATTAACTCTTGTCGAGTAAGATTGTATTCTTTTATGCATCTTTCAGTAACTTCGTCCATGTTATATCCAAGTACCTTAAAATAATTTAAGCTTATTTTTAATAATTTCTTGTAACAATCATAACTTATCTGAATAGATAATTTAAAAATTTATAAATAGTATCTTATTTTATTCTTATTTGATTTTTCTTTTTCGACCAAAAATTAATTTCTGAAAAATTTGTAAATAAAAAAAGGTTTTTCAATCAACTTGATTATTTACTTCAATAAACGCGGCGCCAATGACAAACAACTGAATCCACAACTTCATATTTAATACTTGTGCTTTTAAGAAAAACAAAAAGCAAAATAGATGATCAAGTATCGTTCACTATGATTTTTATATCACATTTTTTTTTAAATTTTGTTTTAGAGGGAGAACCTATAATTTAATAACATGGCCAAGTGTGTACTATTTTTGATAATAATTGTATCCGCAACATAAAAATCATTGTAGTTTTAGTCAAGTTGCTTCCGACTACAATCGTAATAAAGAAAAACATGAATGCTGTAGAAACATGTTATTGATGTTATCGCTGATTTTATCATGGGAACGACGAATTCGTTAATAATTATTTATTTTTATAAGTTCATTATGAACTTATTTCAATAAAAATAATAACTTAGAAGTTGTGATATAATAATTAAAATGAAGGATGAATAACAAAATCATCAATTGCTATTACTTACGTAACAATTTTGTGAGATAAAAATATAACATGTCGATAGTTACAAAATTTTCTATAATTTTTTACAAGATGAAAAATAAAATTAACTCTTAATTAACTTAAAATTAACATGATGATTACTCAATTATGTAATCATAATTTTAATTGTATATTCGTGAGATAATGTTGTGTGTTGTGATTATTATTTAAACTGTTATACTTAGCATGTCGATTGAATAATAACATTCCATTTAAACTATGAATAAAAATGTAGAAATTTCGGACATCCAATGTATCTAAGAGATATATGAAATATATCCAAAATATATCCGGGATATATCCCAGTAATAAAAAAGATATATTTAAGGTACTAACTGGATGTATCTTATATACATATCAACATAAATTTTTGAAAATAAAAAAGAAAATTTAAAAAAATAGGAAATTTTTTTCTATTAATTAAATTTATGAATAACCCATGTAGAAAAAATTTGGTTTTTAAAAGAATTCTAGGAATTTATTATAAATAAAAAGATTATTTTAAAATAATTTTATTTTATTAATAATTTGCACAACAAATTTTTTGTTACAAGATTTTTATTCTTTTAACCTACATAAAAAGATTAATGTATTCAATACAAAGAATTATTTTGAATCGAATATCATCTTAATTAATAAATATTTAATAGTTATAAATATACACTTAATTTTCTAACAGTTTATTTTCTCCACACATCATTAATTTATTTGGTTTAATGTCCAATAATGTTAAAAAAAAAAAATTTTTACGTCGCACGACACTTAACTCACTAAAAACTTTATTGCTTTTTTGAAAATTTTCTACATGGGTTATTTATAAACTTTATTAATAGAAAACAATTTTCTATTTTTTTAAATTTTCTTTTTATTTCAAAAATTTATCTAGATATATGTAAGATATATTATGTTAGTATCTTATATACATCTTTTTTATTACTGGGATATATTCTAGATGTATAAAAATCGGCCAAAAGTATAATATCCCAAATGTATCCCGGATATGTTTTTTTTGTATCCGGATATATTTCATATATCTCTTAGATACATTATGGATACATTGGAGTTCCGTGTGGGAAAGAATATTCAAAGAATATGTAGGATCGAAAAATTAATTAAACATTTTATTTATAAAAAAAAACCTTATTATTAGTATTAACTAACGAAAGAAATTGTTTGATGTATTAATAAACAGAATTTGCCAGATAAGTATAGAAAATAAGGTAGTCTACAGTCTAGCATGAGTCATATTAATGTGAATGATTTTTATTACTAAGTCGTAAAAACTTATTGATTGAGTCATCAGCATGGAAATCACTTGTAACATTTTTCTGAATTTCAATTCTTGGATGAATGACTAAATTGATAATAACATCGTCATTTTTGAAAGATTTTTATTTTTTTTATTTGATGTTATAATTTTATCAGAAAAAAGTTTATTAAGTAAATAATGATGTATCATAAAACATGTAACATCTTGAATTCAATTAATTAATCCAGCTTTCACATTTGTATTAAATCTGTCGATTTCTTGTTCGTTGTAATATCTTTCACTACGACGACACTATTAATTTTTTTTTACTTGATGTGTTTGATGAAAGCTACTTTACTACAATTTTTCACACACTGAGTTTCTAAATGACCTTTTATAGCTGTTACAGATTCATTAACGGATAGTATTCAATAAAAACTAAACCGTTGATATTTGTTGGTTAGTTTTTATTTTCATCTAGATGAGATTAAAAGAATTATTTTAAATTAACGATTTAATTACATTTTCATTTATTATTTTATTTTTTATTGTCATTAGATAAAATGGAATGAATTCCATATTTTCTTAATATTTTTTTGCATTATACTGCTATTGTGCAATGACTCCAAAAAAATTAAGGTAGTTATCCCGCGAGAGCGATTACTTACAATTTTTTTAACAACATTATTTCTATAAAATAACAAAAAATGAACATTTTTTTTCTCTGAAAAAAAGGTCTGACGTCAATAAATGAAGATATTTGGAATTCAAGATTACGATTTTACCATGCAGTCTGGTGGTACAAGGTAACTCGTAGTTTTTCAATAAATATTCTAAAACAGAATTTACGATTGCATTAAAAAAAAAATATCTGAGTACATTTTGTCTGCGCTAACACAAAGAACTTTCCATTAGTAATTGTTTATAACAAATTCAAATTTTTATAACAATGCCTAATAGTTAAAAGTCATACCTTATCATTAATAATGTAATTTTTTTAGAAACATTCAAATTCATGTGATATACGTATTAGTTAATCAAAAGATACAATTTTTAAATGTTTATGACCAAGTAATATTGCTATAAACAATGTATAATTTTTGAAAGTCATATTTGGTTGTAAACAGTAATATCTAGTCAATATTGACTTCATTTTTGAATAAAATCGTTATCCTTTCGCTTAAAAGTATTTTAAATTGTTAATCTTTTCATTTATTCATTATATGATCTTCTTTATAATAATATTTTTCGAATGAATTTTGGTTTAAGTCGATATCTCAATCTGTTCTTGAGATATCGAAAACGACAATAAAACTGACGCCCGTACATACGACCGTACACTGAAAAAAAAATTTCGTTAAATGAAAGAATTTCTTATTCAATCAATAAAAAAAACTTGGAGTATTCTCAAGATAATATTTTATTCAGACTCATAGTAGTCTTATCAAAAACACATTTTGTCATTTGTTTCAAGTTCGAAAACAAATTTTCAAGGTTACGACAAGAATGAAAACAAATGACATTTTATTCATTTGAGTAAATAAAATGATTTCAATCAAATATTCATAATTTCGAAGAAATATTTTATTGCAACTAATGATCGAATGAAATATTTTTTGTATGAAGTAAAGTTTTTTCTCAGTGTACGTATACACACATTCTAAGAATTGATCAGTATAGTATACTTGCAAATATCTTCAAAACGTGGAGATATGATGAAAATTCAAATTTCACCAATCGACCCAATTTCAATAACTTCCTAATGAGAAGTTACAAATCAGAAAATCATTCCAATTTCGACATTCAGTTATTGAACAGAAAATTATTAAAATGTATTTTCCGACAACAAATTAGAGAATAGTAATGTGGTGGTATATACATACAAGTAATGTCGATGCATTGGTACAGGTTCGTACAAAGAATTATTCAAATTATAGAAAAAAAATTATTAACAACACTTTTTAGATATTATTGAATATTACTTATATCGAATTATAGATCATTTCTGAATGTCATTCGACGGACGTTTGGACATTTTTTTGTTAATTCATATAAATACAATTACAATATCTGTCCGTGATTTCAAGAAAACTGTCTCAAGCTTAGCTCAGAGGGTTATCCAAATCCTGTTAAAACGTAAATGACCATTTTTGTCTGTCTGTCCGAGGTAATCTCTGAAACAACTTACATGAAGAAAAGAATGTAAGAAGTAACATCGGCCACTTTTTACGCATGTGAATTGCTTTTAACAATTAAAAACGGGATCTATGCAATATTTTTGAGTTCTTCTAACAGAATACTTTTTTTCTGAAAGATAAAATCCGAACTTTTCTTATCTATTGTTCATGCACACGAATTTATAACCTTTTTTTAATTTCATCATAAAATATTTTGTATCTGGAATTCGGTCATTTAAACTGTGGAATTATTATTCAACTTTCCTTGATCCATTTATTATGATGTAACATAAGTATGTCTCATCAATCGATTAAAATGAACAAGAGATTCTTTTAATTCGCTAAAAATAAGATTATTCTAAATTGTCAAGCATAAACCCTTTTAGTTTCTTACAGTTTATATCATCTACTAAGTAATTATACTACTAAATAATTGTATCTACATGGAAGACGTTGTGGAAATAAGCTAGTACATATCATATAGTTTCTTAGCGTTTTATGTTTACATTGACATATAGACAAATAATTGTATAATTGTATAAACAATTGTCCTGAACACAGAATTTTTTTTTCAAGCCAAAGGAAATTTAGTATGTCATGTATAATAATAAAAATTTATTCCGGAATACAGTAAAACTCAAACACGAATACAGCACAAAACCAGATAGTCACGACAAAAATGTTTCATACGTGAGAGCGATCGAACTTCACGAGATAAGCACCGATCAATTACTGAGTGAGTTCTGTTTTTTGGCAAGGAAAAGGACTTCCGTCTTTCTGTTAGAGGGAGAAAAACGGGCCCTAGTGAGGGGGTAAAGGATAGAGTGGGAAACTCAAGAAGTGGAGAGTTCATTTTTTAGGGTCAGGGAAAACCCAGCGTGTTTTCCCGCACATGATGGACGG